GCACAGCATGTCCATCTTGTTATGTGAGCTAAATAAGACATGCATAATTATTTCATGATGAAAGAAGGTAGAGGAGGTAAGCACTCCTCTTGGTTCTTCTAATTATAAATGGTTTTAGTGTATATAGGCTGTATTAGTTCAAGACTTACTCCAATCCTGCGTAATACTCCATAGCAGCACCAAGGTGATGTGCTATAAGAGTTACATTTGACAGACACGGCTGTTATTCTGCATCCCAAAGGATCATTTTGATCTAGTGACAAGCTCTCCTAACCTGCTTAAAGTCTAAAGCCCATCTTTTGAAAACAAAAAAATTTATAAAAAAAACCAAATAAATAAAAAATATATATATTAATATTACACCCATAACAATAACAAAGGATTTATTTTTTATTTTTTGTATAGGAGCCTGGGAGACATTGCAGCCACATTCAATGGTTTACAGGTGCAATGCTCTGGCTCCTGCAGACTATTCTTGCAGCTGTTGGTCCACCAAGGTAGAGACCTTCACCTACAGGGCTGAGGGTAGTGCCAAAATAGACTGCAAGTGCAGTGAGGTCACCATACTTATTATCCACTGAGAACGAAGAGTCCCTCTGGGTGGCAGGTCTCCTAGTTTTTTATTCGCAGCTGTGAAAGAGTGACACAGATGTGCGGTCAGAGCCACACACAGCTGTACTGATTTCATATTTGACAGGATCTGATGGGGAGAAGGACCCTAGCTTCTGGAAGCGGGGGGGGTGCTGTGCTCACTGACTATATTCCTAGAGTTCTGGTTTGCAGTGACTGTATTGCATTAGGTTGAGACTTGGATGTGCTCTTGGAGTAGCTTAGATTTGTCATTTGGTCCTTAGATTCGGGCCTCCACCAAAATCTACAAAAATATTCCTAACTGGAAATCCCATTGGCAATAACTTTCCTTCTCTCAGGTTCACAATGTTTTATTAGATACAAGGTGAAAAATGCATCGTTTTGGTAACATCTTTATTTCACCTCATTTCCTTTGCAATCTTTTAAAACTAAGATTAATACATCACCTCTTCTTTTTAGGTTTCTTTCTACAACGTTTGGACAAGTATTTACGTGTCCAAGCTGAGTAGTATATGGGTAATGGACAGAACACAAAACTGCACGCAATAGACACCATACACACCGTACAGGCAAGCTGCGCTGTATGTGCTGATGGCAGATTAGAACAGTCTGCTTGGACATACTCACTTGCAGTTAAATATGAAAGCTTAAAAAAACCTAGCAATGTAATCAGTAAAAGCAGCAGGAGGGGGCGTACGAGCGAAAAGATTAAAAAAAAGATTAAAGTCATGTAGGGATGGAAAATTTCTATAAAAACAAGGGAAGACGCAAATAAGAAAAATAAAACAAAAGTGAAACATTAAAGGTGGTTCTAAAACCTACACATTTTTACCTCAATTCCCTACATTAAGGCAAAAATGTTTAGTTAAAAGTATTGCCCTCTCACCCTCCCCCTCAATCGATCAAGTGCTGTGCCTATCTGTAGCGTCTCTCTTCTCTACTCCCCGCTCTCACAGGCTTGGCTGAGGCAGTGGTTCTGCTGCTGTCAGTCAAATCCTGTGACGAGGAAGTGGGGGCGGGGCAGAGCTGCACTGCGTGTGTCTAAAGACGCAGGCAGTGCAGCTTGGGATCAAGCCCACAGGTGCGTCACAATAGGATGAGGCTTCAAATAGTGGCACATCAATAAGAGGAGAAACCAGAAGTACCAGCGGGGGAACCAAGAAGAGGAGGTTCAGGGCCACTCTGTGCAATTCCATTGCACAGTGCAGGTAAGTATAAATCTGCTTCTTATGTAAAAAAAATTGAATTTACAATCACTTTACAAGGAGCTTTGGTTCTAATGGGACTATTTGTAAGGGGGAAGTTGGGAAGAGTAAAAATGCAGATTTTTGTTTTAATCCTTCCTTTTCATCCTTCCTTTTTCCTGCTATTTCAGTGTTTATATTATTATGATCTCAACAAAGTTCATTTTTCTAATATTTTCAGCTATTAGTAACTACAGTTAAATCAAAACTCTAGATAAGCTGCTAAGTACACAGCAAAAGGGCTCATTGACATGGACACAGGGATCCATATAATCGTGCAGAGGGCCATGTTTATCCACATGGGGAGCACAGGTAGTCCTTGCAGCCAACCTGGTAAAAATCAATAACATGCTGCAATGATCCTCGAGCATATTCGCGCGGGACCGATGCACAGCTTTGAATGCGGTTTGTCTGTGTTCAGATCCGTGCATCAGTCCTGCACAGATGTACAATCAGAGGTGTGCGTTAAGATCAGTGTCAGCCTGTCAATGATTTTAATAGGCTGTCAAGATGTGGCTGTATGGACCACCTGTGTGTCCCGGGCAGATGAATATGGCAGTCTGCGAAGGTCTGAGTCTGCGTGTCCACATGAATGAGCCCTAAAAATGTTTAATAAAGTCCACCAGAGTTGGTAATGCTCCAGATGATTTAGAAATCACTGATTAGCCTTTGCTGCCCAGACTGTGGGCACACAGGAAGTGAGGAGATATAGCTCCAATTAGGATGCAGCCAGTATTAAATACCTAACCGGTTTTCTATCCTTTCCCTTCTCTCTACAAACCAAAAATAAAAGTTTTGGCTGAAGATACCACAGAGCCAAGTCGAGTGCTCTGTGGCCCTGTCAGGCCGAGTGTGGGCTGTATCATAGTGAATTAAAGATAAATCCAGACTAATGTCTTTAAACAAAAAGGAAATACTCTTTAAAATCAGGTGAACCAATAAGAAAAAGAAAATATGCTTTTCAGAAAAAAAGCATAGCTTGGTGAAATAATATTGCAGAAAGTGTTAAGTATGCTCAAGGAAGGAATGGTTATGTTTACTCTGCAGTGTGGAAAGCTGGATTTACATAAACAGCAAGCCAAAAATAAAGATGGGAGATGGGTTATGAATGTTCTTTTTTTTTTTTTTTACAGAAGGATATGAGTGTTTACTTTAGTGTAACTGGTGTAGTACATATAAAACACTTGGATAAAACAGGAAATATATAATATGACAGTTTTGGACACTTTGCTACAGATTTCACCTTTTTAAGAGTACCTGTCATCCCCACACAAACCACAGAGCAATGCTGTGAGATGGACCAGCATCATGCTCATGGTGCTTCATGCCACCAGTTCCTAATGAAGATGATGAACCAAAGCATAACTGCTTCCATCCTCTATGGGGGGACAGGTAAACATTAATGCAATAAAGATTAAAAACTTAACACAGCACAAACAATAAAACCAGAGAAAAATTACAAACAATGAGAATTAATGAAAAAAAGCTGCAAAGACCATATCTAAGGACATGGGTTTGAGAAAGCTGCAGTGTGTTATCATTAACAGTCTACAGCATCAATATTGGATATGAAAGCAGCAATATAACAATCAAGGAATGGGTCTCATATGGCTAGATACAAATACTGTACCTTAGTCAAAGTGCATGAGGAAGACCAGTTCTTGCTGCATGTAACAACCAATCAAATTTTACTTTGCTATGCCAGGGAGAAAAGAGAAACAATTTGATTGGTGGCTAAAGGCAACCACAATGACTTCCTTCATAGGAAAAAAAAAAAAAAATTGGTTAGCTGCACAACTAAAAACACCTTATGTAAAATCACTATCCACAAAGTAAAGGGCATAGGTAGAAAACAGCTAACACGTTTCATGCTGACTCTTAGCACTTAATTATAAATTTGCCAATTTACTCATAAGCACTGAGTAAGGGTGAAACACGTTAGTTGTTTTCTAATGATGCCCTCTACTTTGTTTGCGGATATGTGATTTTACTCATGCTCATTTCAATAAAGGAGCCTTTAGTTGTGTGGCCAACCGGATTTGTTTCTTTTTCCTATGAAGGAAGTCATTGTTACCTTTAGCCACCAATCAGATTGTTTCTCTTTCCTCTCCAGCGTAGCAATCTGATTGGTAGCTAGAGGTGACAACAATGACTTCCTTCTTAGGAAAAAAAAAAAAAAACAAATCCAGTTGTCCGCACAACTAAAAACTCCTTTAATGAAACTGCTTGAGCAAAATTACTTATCCACAACAAAGTAGAGGGCATCAGTAGAAAACAACAAACGTGTTTCGTCCTTACTTACTAGTGCTTATTTATAAATTTGTCAAATTTTACTCATTAAAGCGGAGTTACTGTGAAACGCGTTAGTAGTTTTCTACTGATGCCCTCTATTTTGTTTGTGGATAAATGTGAATTTATTCAAGCGGTTTCATTAAAGGAGTTTTTAGTTGTGCAGACAACTGGATTTGTTTCTTTTTCTTATGAAAACAGCCATGAGCTAGGCCAGCACCTATCAATGTGTGTGAGGTGTATCAGCAGACTGACTTGGAGCGGTGCTTTGCTTGTTTTCTCAATGACTTCCTTCAGGTAGGTTTATGCAAAAGGCCTAGGAAGACTTATCATGCGCTAAAATATTTTAGCAATTTGCAACTTCCCGTGTAAAAATAACAGAAATGACTAAAGTAAACAATTCTTATATTCAAGTACCAGATCATGGAAGCTACTTTCATTATACCATATCTTTGCAGACTTTGTTTACTAAATCCCATGTTTGAGGGCAAACCTGTCATCAACTAAATCACCCATCTCAGAAGCCTCTAACGGAAGCAGTCATTATCTGATTTGCAGGCCCCTCGATACATCCTGGGCAGTGAGGCTGAACTTATTGAGCCTTACTGAAAGCCCCTGGTATGTTACCCATAAGGAAAATGGCTGCTTTCATCCAAGGTTTCACACTTGGGTATTTGCATTGTGACAGAATCTGGTAACAGAGCATAAAAGTAATGATGCCCAACACCATGCAACCATTCAGAAACCATCTTTTAACTAAACTGTGAAAAAAAGTGGCCTGTGATTGGTTGCTGGGGATTGCTGATCACCATTGAAATTCTACTACATAAGCTTTCAGAGCAATATTAGGCTTAATATTTATAGAATACTACTCACATGGGTAGGGAACTTTAAACCAAGGAGCTACAGCCAGAACTCCTTTCCTGGCATCAGTACGGGCATAAAACCCATATTTGGTATTGTCTGGTGGAAAAACATCCGTCACAGTAAAGATAAAGCACAGCAACCAGGACACAAGGATTGCCATAATAATCTAAAAAAAAATACAAATGTATTCAAATAATAAGTAATTAACAGCGATAAAGTAACAAGACAAAGCTATGGGCGCACTGTACAACGATTCAGCAGCCACTTATATTCTCCAGAAACAACAAAGTACATAATTATAGGTGGTAGCTGATCTTTCATAAAATACAATATACAAAAGTCCCACTTGATAAAAATAAAAGTTGATATATAGCCCTAAAAAATTCCTGTGTCTTTGCCTTTAACCACTTCAATATCGGACACTCTTACCGCCCTTCCTGACCAGGCCAATTTTCAGACTTTCAACAATCAAACTTTGAACAACAATTGCGCAGTCATGCAACACTGTACCCACAATGTTGCATGACTGTGCACAGCTGATCACATGGTAAAGGGCCGCTGTGATTGGTCCTTTACTGCAATCTGTGATCAGCTGTGTCCAAAGGACACAGCTGTCACAGAGTGCATCGATGCATGCCCCAGGTGCGCGTTGGAGGCAGGGTTCTGGTAAGATGTCCAAGGACGCCCTCCCAGAACTGGAGAACCAAAATACGGCTACAGTTTGGTCAGCAAGTAGTTATTCTGTGAAATATTTCTTCCCATTCTCTTAATTCACCTTACAATGTGCAATCCCGCCATCATTATTTCAATGCTCTCACCCACGCTAATGACCTAACAAAGATATTAAGTCTTATGTGCTTTTCCCCTTTAAATTGAGTTTTTAATGTTAGGAGTTTTTAAAATAAAAAAATACTGGTGGATATACAGAAAGCACTATGTGAACTGCCTGGAGACCATTGAGGGAAACATCATTCCTGGTATAGGCATCCTGCCTTAAAGGGGAGAAGCGCATAAGACTTAAATCTTTGTAATAAGATAGGTGAGAGCACTGAAATAACAGTGTGGATAGCACAGAGTATGGTGAATTAACAAAACGGGGCAGAAAAATTTCACAGAATAGATATATAAATTAAAGGCACAGAGACAGGAATTTTGAGGACAACAGATGAACTTTTATTTTCATCAACTGGGACCTTGATATATTTTGTTAATAAGGAGCACATACAGTATATATCTATAAAATATATATATACATATAATTTTTTTTTATTGTTAAAGGATCCTTCCTATTAGGAGATGACATTGCTAGGTGACCTCTGAACTTACCGGGAACATTTTAAAGAGCTGAAACTTGTACGCAGTCCATCCTTTCTTGGACTTGTAGATGGGAAGGGGTAGTTTGACATTCCTGGCATATTGGGAGAAAAGCAGGACCAGAAAGATGGTGCTAATGGAGGAGAAAAACAAAGACATAAGTGATCCTCAACTTGTGTATAATAGACAGAGAAAGGAAGAGTCTGAAAGAGCTATACTGTATAGAATAAAGTGACAGTAAGTTAACAATATTGAATTAAACAAAAGTTCTTAAAACTTAGACAACAAAGGATTTAGAGTGTTGTTATACAGAAAGCTGAGATAATAAAAAAAAGAATCTGTATTTCTAGCCTACAAAGCGGCAAGACAAGGTGTGTGTAAGCCTGTGTATGTGTCTCTGTGTGTATCCCTGTGTGTATGTATGCCTGCGTGTATGCGCCAGTGTGTGTGTGCTTTCGGTGGGTGAGCTCTGAAATGAAATCTGTTAAGAAGAGAGCTTTGTACTTGTAAGGGGGGACTTGGATGTACACAGCACACCCCTGAACCCTGCACTCCGTACATAGGGCACCCCTCAACCCTGCACTCCGTACACAATGCACCCCTCAATCCTGCACTCTGTACATAGGGCACCCTTCAACCCTGCACTCCGTACACAGTGCAGCTCTCAATCCTGAACTCTGTACACAGCGCACCCCTTTATCCTGCACTCTGTACACAGCAAAACCTTCAATCCTGCACTCTGTACACCGCAAAACCCTCAATCCTGCACTCTGTACACCGCAAAACCCTCAATCCTGCACTCTGTACACCGCAAAACCCTCAATCCTGCACTCCGTGTGCACTGAGCCGTAAGGTGTGCTGTAACCTCTAGGAACCAGTCAGTGGGCAGTAATAATATGCTGTTACCTCTGGCAACCCAATGCTGCCTGATCGGCTGCACTAAACTGATTTTGAGTCTTGCTGCTATTTATGTATGTCTCGGAGTGGGAAGCTGGGGGGGATGGCTGCTAGGGGGCCCAAGAAAATGTTTGCCCAGGGTCCAATCAGTATTAAAGACGGCCCTGGATCTGGGCTTTGATTAAAGTTTTAATTTACCATTCTATATATCCAAATGAGTTCAACAGTAAAAGAATTGAGTGGAGGGAGAAGGATGTGGTATTAATAAAAAAAAAACAAAAAAAAAAAACAAAACAACAACATCAACTAGATAGGATGCTATGTCAAAAAAGGTAACAGAACCCATCAAATATCTACCACTAGAAAGACACAACAGCATTGCTCTGGGCAGTTATAATAAAGAAGAATAAAGACAAAACAGGTCAGCAGTAATACAGTTTAACTGTTTTTCCTCTTTAAAAATTTGGAGGTCTGATCTTGTTTGTTGTAGAAGAGTTCTGACCCCTACAATCCCTTCACTAGAACAGTGGGTGCAATATGTGTCCTTTTTGTCACCTTCATAGATAAACATACATGCCTGCAAATAACATGACACTTTTCAATTAAAAAAAACCCTCAAGAAGAGCATGCATGAAGCTGATATCTATGATGTCTATCATTTATAACAAAAATTTAAGATTAAAAACAAGAAACTCAGGACAATGCCAAAATCTCCGTATCAGTCCCATACAAATGTTCTGAAATGTATGCTTATAGATGCAGCCCTACTCTGTGCTCATAGTTCAACACCCTCCCTCATGGTAATGGAACTTGTCCATCTGCTTCCTTAATCCACACAGCCTGTTCTCAAACCTGTGCTCATCCCTCCAATAATTTCAGTGCTCTGTCAAGCAACAGACCCCTGATTGGCTGAAAGCCTTAGCCCTCCCTCTCCCAATCTGAGCTCTGGCGTTTACACGTGTCAAAACACAAACATATCCATATACAAGTTGTAGGTAAAAATACATGTAATGACTTTCTAAAACACAGAATGCTCGTCTGTCAAATATTTGTTCAAGGTTCTGTTTTAATTAATCCGTTAATATTTGCATAGTGTTACCTGACATTCTGCTGAACTTCCCAGACAAATGACATTTACGTGGGATTAGGGAGATCTAATGGTCACAATGCCATATTTTTTCAGGAAACGGTTATATGGTATATACACATACACACACACACACACACACATTAACACAGTCAACGCATTTATCCAAAAAGCATACAGATCAGGACTAACACAGTTACGGTCAGGTCCAAAATATTGGGACATTGACACAATTCTAACATTTTTGGCTCTATACACCACCACAATGGATTTGAAATGAAACAAACAAGATGTGCTTTAACTGCAGACTGTCAGCTTTAATTTGAGGGTATTTACATCCAAATCAGGTGAATGGTGTAGGAATTACAACAGTTTGTATATGTGCCTCCCACTTGTTAAGGGACCAAAAGTAATGGGACAATTGGCTTCTCAGCTGTTCCATGGCCAGGTGTGTGTTATTCCCTCATTATCCCAATTACAATGAGCAGATAAAAGGTCCAGAGTTCATTTCAAGTGTGCTATTTGCATTTGGAATCTGTTGCGGTCAACTCTCAAGATGAGATCCAAAGAGCTGTCACTATCAGTGAAGCAAGCCATCATTAGGCTGAAAAAACAAAACAAACCCATCAGAGAGATAGCAAAAACATTAGGCGTGGCCAAAACAACTGTTTGGAACATTCTTAAAAAGAAGGAACGCACCGGTGACCTCAGCAACACCAAAAGACCCGGAAGACCATGGAAAACAACTGTGGTGGATGACCGAAGAATTCTTTCCCTGGTGAAGAAAACACCCTTCACAACAGTTGGCCAGATCAAGAACACTCTCCAGGGAGGTAGGTGTATGTGTTTCAAAGTCAACAATCAAAGAGAAGACTTCACCAGAGTAAATACAGAGGGTTCACCACAAGATGTAAACCATTGGTGAGCCTCAAAAACAGGAAGGCCAGATTAGAGTTTGCCAAACGATATCTAAAAAAGCCTTCACAGTTCTGGAACAACATCCTATGGACAGATGAGACCGAGATCAACTTGTACCAGAGTGATGGGAAGAGAAGAGTATGGAGAAGGAAAGGAACTGCTCATGATCCTAAGCATACCACCTCATCAGTGAAGCATGGTGGTTGTAGTGTCATGGCGTATGAGCATGTATGGCTGCCAATGGAACTGGTTCTCTTGTATTTATTGATGATGTGACTGCTGACAAAAGCAGCAGGATGAATTCTGAAGTGTTTCGGGCAATATCATCTGCTCATATTCAGCCAAATGCTTCAGAACTCATTGGACGCCGCTTCACAGTGCAGATGGACAATGACCCAAAGCATACTGCAAAAGCAAGCAAAGAGTTTTTTAAGGGAAAGAAGTGGAATGTTATGCAATGGCCAAGTCAATCACCTGACCTCAATCCGATTGAGCATGCATTTCACTTGCTGAAGACAAAACTGAAGGGAAAATGCCCCAACAACAAGCAGGAACGGAAGACAGTTGCAGTAGAGGCCTGGCAGAGCATCACCAGGGATGAAACCCAGCGTCTGGTGATGTCTATGCGTTCCAGACTTCAGGCTGTAATTGACTGCAAAGGATCTGCAACCAAGTATTAAAAAGTGAAAGTTTGATTTATGATTATTATTCTGTCCCATTACTTTTGGTTCCTTAACAAGTGGGAGGCACATATGCAAACTGTTGTAATTCCTACACCGTTCACCTGATTTGGATGTAAACACCCTCAAATTAAAGCTGACAGTCTGTAGTTAAAGCACATCTTGTTCGTTTCATTTCAAATTCATTGTGGTGGTGTATAGAGCCAAAAATGTTAGAATTGTGTCAATGTCCCAATATTTATGGACCTGACTGTATTTAACTTCCTGATGATGGAGAGCAATATGTGTACATTTATCATACTCTGAAGCTTCCAAGAAGCCTATCTACTCTGCAAACTTAGCTGCATCATTTTAATTTGTTTTTGTAGTTAAAAATGAGGACCGATCAGGATACACGGACAGTTTGGGGCACACGTGACCAGGGCACTAATGCAAATTAGAGGGGGCACATCACACACAAATAAATCATTTCATTTTTATAAACAGCCACTAACCAGCCAAATACCTATATCTATTTTTCCCAGATGTGAGACTTTTTTGAGGCCTAAGATACCTCTAAAAATTTTAAGTCCACTTTGCTGAAAATGATTTTGTGTGAGAACATTGAAGCCACATCAGCATCCCAACCTGTTACCATGGAAGGAAATCAGGACACTATTCTTTCTGCTTTTTTCAGATTTCAGCAGCTAGGGCTAGCACTCATGTCTGCCTGATGACAATTCCAGCTTAAGTATTCTCTCATTTATCATAAATGTGAACAAATCTTTGTTACAGAGGAAGTAAACTCCCACTGGACACTTGTACCTACATATAATAATATTTATAATAAAGCTTACCTGTAGGTACAAGGAAGGTCTCCAAAAAATGCACCATTTAGGAGATATTCAGTGCCTCTGTAGCCAAAGACGTCACCAGCACGTGCTCTGAAGGAACAGAATACCTGTGCCATCGTTCAGAGCTCTGTGCTGCGGCTGGGAGTGACATCATCACATCTCGGCCAATCAAGCGGCCATAGCCGCGGACCTGGAAGGAAGACCAAGTGAAGATGGAAGCCCTGTCAGCAGTGTCAGCGTGGCGCTGGAGGGCTTCATTCTATGGTAAGTCTTTTATAATGTGCTAGTATGCGTTGCATACTAGCACGTTATGACATTATATAGTAGGGGAATTTTTTTTTTTTGTGCCCTTGCAGGACACGTGCAGAAAAAACTCATGTCTCTACACATGATGTGAATAAGGCCTAAGTGGATTAAAGGCTGCCCCCATAAGATTAAATTTTAATTATATTCCTTTATCTCCATAATTACTTGCTCTCCTATAAACCTCAATCATTTTGAAATACCTTAACTTTCAGGCTACCCACAGAGAGGAAGATTGTTGGAAGCCATTGTATTGCTTGTGGGCTTGGCCCCAACACTTCCATCTACCTACTGGTCAACCTAAAGTAAAAAAGTAAGAGCTTTATATAATTTCATAATGGTCTGCACCATTTGGATTGTCAAGGTTTCTGATACGTTTATGCTAATAAATCACATTAACACTCCCACGCCAAGAAAATAAATGCAGCACATCAACACTTTTATGTCTGATCTACAAAGAGGGAAAAACAACTTTACAGTTCCACATGCCCATTACATCATTACATTGCACATTTCCCAGTTCAGTCACAACTATTGTTAAGGCAGAAAGCATTACTACTTACAGCATTGCAATACCCCAGTGTTTGCCCGCTCTTTCCCCAGCAGCCTGGAAACCAGACAGACCGATAAGAGACACTGTGGGGGTGATCGTTAGTGGTCCAATATATCTCAGGAGAGCTCCAGGTAAGCCGAGAAATCCAATAACCACTTCTATAAGTGAGGACATGATGATGGCTCCTTGGATCTATATTGAATTAAAAAATAATTAGGTCACCAAAATACTGTATCTGTTGAGTGTGCTCCAGTTAGTACATGTGCACTTCTGGTTAAATTAAATGCATATAGAAAGACACAAAATGTAAGATGAGACCATTCTATAGTATATAGCAGCCATTCCCAACTAGGGTTTCTCCAGAAGTAGCTACAGGTTCCTTGAGCTGTGGCTGATTGACCTCCCATTTGTGGGTGGCTGTGTAGTTCCAGGACCAAGGTCTCTTGGCAAAGCCAGCAGCATGACATCAATTATCTGTTTTGCTGTCTGGAAGGGTGGTATTGTGACCACCACTGTAATGATGGCATTTTTCTACAGACCACTAAAGTAAGGAGCATTTTTGCCATTTACCCCCAATGAACTGGCTTTGGTTAGGATTCCCTGAGACCTGAAAATTATTTTTGAGATCCCACTGGTTTAAAAGGTTATTTAACGTGGAAGAAGAGTCTACTTTTTAACTTGTACCTACAGGTAAGCCTATAATGAGGCTTACCTGTAGCTACAGTGAATATCTCTTAAACTTGCACGGGCAGCACAGTGGCTAAATGGTTAGCAGTTCTGCCTGGCAGTACTAGAGTCATTGGTTCGGATCCCAACCACAGCACCACCTGCCTGGAGTTTGCATGCTCTCCCTGTGCCTGCGTGGGTTTCCTCCAGGTACTCTGGTCTCCTCCCACACTCCAAAGACATGCTAGCAGGTTAATTGGATCCGGTCTAAATTGGTCAATGTACGTGTGAATCTAAGTTAGGGACCTTTGAGGGTTAGGGACTGATGTGAATGCAAAATATATATATGTAAAGCGATGCATAAATTGATGGCGCTATATAAGTACCTCAAATAAATAATATATATAAATAAAATATTCATACAGCAAGCAGCGGGTGACGTCATTGGTGCATGTGCTCTGAAGGGATGGCATACCTGTGCCGTACCTTCAAAGCTCCATGCTCCCGTACGTATGCATGGGAGTGACGTCATTGTGGCCTCGGCCATTCATACAGCCAGAGTCTGCAAACCCAGAAAGAAGACTGGGTGAAGATGGATGCGCCCAGGAACCATGACCGCACTATGCTGGAAGGCTCCATTTCCAAGTAAGTCTGTCATAATGTGCTTATGACTTAAACCTGCAGGGGCTGATTTCTTTTTTCTATTTTTTTTCCTTTTTTTTTGTGGTGATTTACTACAGCTTTAAGGCTGGTGTATAGCCATATATGAAAATGGAACTGCAAATAAAATGTAGGGTGCATGCATTACAATACATGAGGTACCCCACTCTCCCTGGAAACATGAATGCAAAAACACATAAAAGTAATGCTGCAAAGCATGTCAAAAACATTTGAAAAAATGGCATGCACTCTGAAACATGACAGCATAAATCAGCACATAGAAAGATGACAAATTACATAGGTGTGTCTGAAAAAATTTACACAGACTCTGCCTTCAAGCTCACAAAACTAGTTATATTCAGGGCAACATAAATCAAAATCTAAGTGGGAATGTCCATCATAATTTGTTGATAATCTAATTAGAACAGCTTGCAACTAAAAAATTTTAGGAAATGGGTGATTTGAAGCCAACAAGCAGCCTACTCTGCCAGCATAGTTAATCATTTTGCCATTACAATGGGAGAGAGTGCACAAGCCAAATGACTCCAATTGTGATTGAAATGGTCATATGACCACAAACTCTTTAATCCTTCTTAAAGCTAGCCTTTAGAAATGTGGGAGATGTCACAGATATTGAAACATTGATTGCTACATAGTTACATTCACAAAAGTGCTCTGGTTCCTAATGGGTAAAAAAAACAAGAGTGGTTAAAAAACAAGTGATCAATGGTAGGTATTCCCTTTAAAGAGAACAGTTTGCTGAAATAGACCCCTGGTCCATTTCTGCCACCATGCTCCAAATACTGAGTCCTTTATTGTTTAAATCGAATATATGTTTTTGATTATTATTGTTAAGCTGTCCTATTATTAAGATTTTATTATTGCTAATCTATTAAGAATGAAAGTAAAACAAATCTTGATGCCTGGATACTTTGGCATGTGTTAGTAAAACTGTACTTATAATCACAACTACTTAGTAAGTCCAGATGAAGTATAGCTTGTTCTTTTCAGGGAAAATTGGGCTTCCATCTGGAGGGTAAATAATGGATATTCTCCTTCTCCTGACAATCTCAGTGATACTACATGTGTATATTTGCTGTTTTTACCCATAGTAGGGCCCAGAAACAATAGTGTGCATTTTGCTTTTTTTTTTTATCCTGACGCTAAAAAAGGTTTTTTTTTTTTTTTGTTTTTTTTTTTTTGTAATTTTACCTAAAGAACACAGACCCTGCCCTTTGACCCTGACCTAGCTAGTCCCAGCTGAGAGCGTACACACAGAGGCAGCTCCATGGAATTCTACAAAGGAATGGAGCCTCCAGGGGCGTACTCACCACGAAGCGAACAAGGCCTTGGGTGGCATTATTCAGAAGGTGGCGCTGCCCCCGGAAAAAGGGACTCACGTGGCAGGTGACAGAAAAAGGGGACCAGGTGAGGCATTGCCTGAGCTCTGCCATGGGATATGAGAGAGGCTGCGGCTCTCTGGAGGGTGCAGGTAGAGGCCAAATCTCTTTCCCACACAAGGGCAACACTGGGGAAGGCTGGCTGCTTTAATTCCGGAGAGGTGCAGGAGACTGCTGGAAGAACGCATCTCTCTGTCTGTGGCTTCGGGGATGGCCGACTGCTTTTTCCCTCTCTCCCCCTTTTTTTGTTTTTTATTGGGGGGAGAGGGGCCTAATTTTTTGGTGTTGCCTAGGGTGGCAAAAAAACAGAATATACCACTGGAGCTCCCCAAAACAATGGGTAGAGAGTACACATTCCCAGATGAAATGCAAAGCAACTACAAGTTTTGCAAGAAAAATCCACAGCAAATCTGGTAGGTGTTGAGACCTGCAGCACTATAAGCTTTTTCAATATTAGAGTTTAATAACACATTAAGCAGTATTAAATCTTAAAGCAAATATTTATTATATTGCAGCTTACCAATTCTTGTATGTGATGGCTGTATTAGTTTCCTTTTTTAGGCTGTCTTTCTTTTTATTTTCATCTGGTGATCCAACCAGTAAGTCTGTTGTTTTTGAATAGAACAAGCTGTTTTGTAGTTACAGGGATGATTCAAATCATTTAACACTGGTAGGGGTGCTTAAAATGATCACCTTAAATTTATTTATATAAACCCTTTATCCCAAAAGGAAAACAAAAAAATGTTGTAACTGATTATAAAGTGTTAGCTGGAGTTATGCTTCAATCTTTTGGTATATGTAAATCTGTTAGTATATCTAACACACTCCCCTCCTCCCGCAGATTGATAATGCTGCTGTCCAAATTTGCCCCCTGTGCTCCTTTATGCAGCACTGTGTCTCTAATACAGGAGATGTGTTACTGGCCAGATCACCATGGGAAAACAGAGGGGCAAAAAATCCTAAAAAAAAAAAAAACTAATGCATCTACCACATCTAATGATTGTAAAGCTGCAAAATATTCCTTTTGTGGCTTTGGGTTTAATGCCCCTTTCAAATTCCATGACTCTGAACACCTATTAAAAAGCACTGCCATGTGAGTCAATTTGGATACTGTACCTCCCGTATCCTCGGGTACCATATGTGTTCTGTGTGAAGCAGCTCTGTTCCGTTAGAAATAAATATATCTGCAACAGAAGCAAAGCAAAGGTTAGCCCCTTTCCTAATTAGGAATGACCTTTAATCCTCCTACTGGATAATAAAAACTTCATTGGCCTAGTTTGAGAATACCCTTCCATCTATTGAATTAAATGCCTCGTTGACAAATGCAAAAGAGATTGTCAAAAGGAAACATAAAAGTCTTTTATTAACAAACTCCCATCAGATGGAATTGATTTTAGACGGAGAATTGTTCCAGCATAACCTTGTGAAAAGTGACCTTATAAATGTGCTGCTGCTCCTTGACAGTCCAGTCAGCAGAAGGGGGCCCAAAGGGTTAGAATCCCTGTCAGTGTCTTTTCTTTTATACGGTTATTGGGTCTCCATTATTAAGATTTAGCCCAACTTCCTGTTATGCTGATAATGTTTTACCAGACAGGAAGTGAGGAAAAACTCTTTAACAGTAACCCAGACCTATTTTTATTTATTTACTTTTTATTAGACTAGGGAAAGGCTAGAACTCATCAGGTTTCCATTTCTGAGTCCCTGTTTCATAATTTACCTGTTTGGTGGAACCATTGTCGGCAAGATGGGAAGTGAGGGTAAATCTCTCTAAAGTAGCCAAGATTGCAGCAAAAACCCAAAAGGGGTTCTAATCCTTTCCAATTCTAATCAAAACTAGAAAAAAATACTTTGGCATACACTTTAACTGCAGTGATGCTTGCAGGAAAGTTGAGGACCTGGCTTTGCTGTCTGGCAGGGCTGGCTGAATAACAGAATTGGCTGGTGAAAAATATATATATATTTAAGAGAACAAACAGCCAAGAATTGTGAAGAAAAAGTGAAATGAATGCATACGAGTCTGTACCAGTCCAACAATAATCTGCTTCTGTTATATACTGGTTCAGGAAGGTCAGTCCAGCTAATAGTGGATTACATTTCTATGGGTCTCAGAGCTGTTGCTTGTACTAACTTACTACCATGTTTTCATTCTACAGCTCACAAAAAGAATGAGTGGAATGAAGGAAATGAAAGCTAATGTATATACATTTGCTGATTCTATATTTAGCCCATCCTAGGGAGTATTGTGTAAGAGACCTCCAACTACGTGAGCATCCAAACAAAAAAATGAAAAATTAATTACTGGAATTTCCCACTGAAATGATTCCCAGGGTGGGTTCATAATAAGTCGTCCTGACCTCTGACCAGTTTCCATGAGCACATTATTTCCCCATTTCCATCCACAGGCCATAGTGAGAGAATATGTAGAATACACAAATAAAAGATAAAAGTCACACTGATTTATAAGTCCACACGGACATTAAAGACAATAATACTCAAGACGTTATGCTCAGTACTATTCATTGTTTAGTGATCTGGCCATAGCAAACTCAAATCTGTTCCCCAAGAATATCCGAAAAAACATTTAAAAGTCTAAACACTGTGAAAAACATCCAAGTTGTATGACCTGATGAAGTTATTAACCACTTCCCAGTCCGGACAATTTTACCTCCTCTTCCTGTCCAGGCCAATTTTCAGCTTTCAGTGCTATCACACTTTGAATGACAATTGCGCGGTCATGCAACATTGTACCCATATGAATTTTTCAGCATTTTTTTAGACATATAAAGCTTTATTTTGGTGGTATTTATTCACCACTGGGATTTTTTTTTTTTGCTATCTAAATTAAAAAGTCCAAAAATTTTGAAAACAAGTGTTTTTCTTATAACATTTTGCAAATAAATAGTATTTCATCATAAATCTTGGCTAAAATTTATTCCGTTATATTTTTAGTAAAAAAAATATCCCAAATTAGTTCATAACCAAAAATTATAATTTTTAAACTTTTTTTTTACTTTTCTTTTTATTATTTTTAATTTTATTTTATTTTTTTTACATACTGTCACTCTAGCAGTTGTCACCATGGTGACACTGTACTACTTGTGGGGGGTGAAGTTTTTTTTTTTTTTTTTTTTACACTGATTGCTTTTTACACCCATAAATTGTAAAAGCAATAATTTCTCCTCTCTAGCTGCATTCTTTTTTGAGAACTACTGAGTTACATTTGGTATTGAAAATAGCCTTGGTAACCTCTGTGATCATTCACAGATTTCACACTGTCACTCTAGCAGTTCACATGATCGGGACCTCGTACAGAGGTCCCGTCCGACGATCGGTGTTCCACTGTGTCCGGAGGACACAGCGGGCACCAGATCACGGTGCTGCGCGCTCCCAGGAAGCGCGCACAAGCAGGGTGTGGGGAGGCAGTTTATAAATGGCCACCCGACCCTGCACTGCCACCGTCTGGCTGTTTATATACAACGGCCGGACGGGAGGTGGTTAAAGTCAGGCCTGACTTTTGCAGGGACCATACTTCAGAACAAGCAGGCTAGAAGACAAAAAGGGCAATATTATGTTTACACCTACATCTACTTCATTCAATATATGGACATCATGTATCAATCTTACCACTAAGAACTATTAGAATTGCAACTCTTCAAAGCATGAACATGAAACACGTGCATTCATAAGATGCTTCAGTGAAAAAGAGTCCCTAAAGTAAATCTGGGTAACGCCCGTTATGATCAAAAAATGCACAAACAGAAAAAAAACACATTATAAATACTGACAGACCAAAAATATAAAGAGTTGTAGTTAAGTGCAAACCTCTAGAATTCCTGTAAATCCTCATGCCCACTGGACGTTTTCACAGCTGCTGTTTTTGGCTTTTGTTTTTTTTTTTTTTTTTCTTTACAGCCAGTAAACTCCCCAGCATTTTATCCTATGTGTCCATGCTCATGTAGGCTTTAATCAGCGTTTTTTTGTCAGAGGTGTTTTTTTGGATGGAAAAAAACCCAGAACTAGTGGGTTTCTAGAGTTTTTTAGCTGTAAAAACGCTCTAACGCTGGAAAACATGGAAAAACGTAGTAAAACATGGAAAAACGTAGTAAAACACGGCAACCCGGCGTTTTTTTTCTAGTAAAAATTTTATTTGTGTTTTTTTGTGTAAATAACTCTAAAAACCACAAACGTGGAAAAAAGTGCCTAAACACTAATGCAAAAATGCTAAAAAATGCAGAAAAACATTTTTAATGTGACTTTATACAGCTAAGGCTACTGGCATTTTTAAAACACCCAGTGTGCATGAGGGCTAAAAGTCAAACTTGGCTTCTTTAAAGCAAAGGGTGGGCTCAATGACCATTTGTGAGGTTGGAGTTGTATACAGGGCAGTGTCAGGCTTTAAATACTGTATAAAGAAAAAGGTAAAGCCTAAGTACAAAAAAAAAAAAAAAAAAAAATCAGCACTAGGGACATAATTTACAGTCAGTAGGACGTGTCCCTTGTGCTTATTCAACTTGAGTTCAAATCCTCCTCTGCCTGTGACCCACCCCACCGGAATCTGTGTGGCAGGGGTTATAACAACTAAGGGGCTGTCAACAAGACAGTCAAACTGTGCCTGTGCTTTTCATTCAGCTCTTCCATTCATAGAAGCCGTACTACAGCTTCTATTAATGAAATGTGGTCTATGAATGGAGGGAACCGACCTATCAATCATCCACCTGTTCCCCCACCTCAAAGTTGTGGATGGGGAAATCGGTTCAGTATTTTCTTTTTTTTCAGCCTGCTGACTGAATGAAAAAACTGAACCATGTGTGACCAGCTTTACTCCAAGGTTTTAATCAGACAAACAGAGCCTTCAAAGTAAGCGGGGTCTTCCATACAGTATCTTTAACCTCCTTGGCGGTATTCCCGAGTGTAGCTCGGGTAACATTTCAGTACCAAAAGCGGTAACCCCGAGCTACACTCGGGAATACCATGCGGCGCTGCTCCGGCATGTGTTCTTCACTTACCTACCCTCCCTGCAGCGTCCCCGGCCATCTCCTCCGGCCGATGCCGGCATCCGGCTTCTGTGTCCTGTCCCTGTGACGTCGGGACGTACGGGCGCCGCCGCCGGCGGCGGTGGGAAATTTGAAAATTTTAAAAAAATGTCATTTTTTTTTTTTTTTCATTTACACAGTAAAACATTGCTGTTTCAACCTATTTCACATACATTTTGTCCCGAGTGCTTTGTCCTGCGCCCTGCCTGCATTTTGTCTGTTCTTTCTGCCTGGAAACTGAGAAATGTCCATGGCGTCCAAAAAGTGTATTTTAGGTCAAAAGCGGTTTAGATCAGCTAGAGAACAGCGATAGTAAATCAGAACCACTTACAGAATTGAGTGATAATGATTCGTGGGGGAAATTCGTCATCAGAAACTGAAAACGATTTTGCGACTGAGCTCAGCAATGTGCGAACTTGGCGCTCTATTTCACATTTCAGTGTTTTTTTTGGTTTGATTATATTATTGAATTAAATTTTTTATTATTTTTATATTATTTTTATGATTATTTATTAAATTATAATTTATGATTTTGTGTGTTTCAAATTTTATCATACCCGGGATGTTTACTAGACTCTGTTCGGACAGATTTCAGTGAGTTTTTTCCTAAAAATTACAGCTACAATAAAAAAAAATACATATTTCCATGCAAAATAATGGTACCCCCATTTTGTCGCTTTCAGCACCCCAAAAATCTGAAATAATCATACCGCCAGGGAGGTTAATTAATATTCAGTGATCTGAGACTACACAGGTATATATTTTATTATAAAAAGTGTTTAAAAACTTGAAAAAATTTAAAAAAAAGAATCAAAAAAGTAATCAAGTTTCTTTTAAAACCTCACGACCGTCCTGGTAATGACATACCATCTCCAAAATATGTGTATTAACCTGTATTGCTTGAGTGCAGCTATAGGCAGTGATGCCGACACTTCATGTTCTGCAAGTCAGATTGTGAACTTGTACGGAGTCAAGATCATTTACTGTAACTTTAATTCTTCTACTATCAAAATAGTGGTTAATAAAAAGTGCAAAATGGACAGCTCTCTAGGGATAATTACCCTGCAGCACACAGCTAAAGCTGGCCATAGATGGAAGAATTTTAAACAATTTTTTAGGAAAAATCATACATAAATTCTCAGAACTTTCACTTGTTTAAAAGATTTCCTTTGCTTTTAACATTGATTTTGGAATGAATGGACTTTACTGAATGAAAACCCCATACACTGTTTGAAATTCGTTCATTTGAGAAAAATTTTCTATCCTGCTCCTTCAAATTTTCTCATCACTGCGGTTGAGAATGAATGTCAGTTTGACCCCACTAATGATTAGGAAAAACTTCTAGAACATTCTTTCCCAAGACTTTCTACCAGTTTATGGCCAGCTCAACTCAACTTGTTTTGTGAGTCATAGTACTTCATAAACGTCTTGGGTGAGTTCTTGATGGCCCTACATGAATTGAAATTAGGCCGTTAAGCAGGGACTGGCCGAATTTCAATACATGTATGGGCACCCTGGTTGTACAGAAAGTCGATCAGTATGCACAGACCATAAGTGGGTGGAAGGAAGAAAAATGCTCAAGTCCCTCCTGCAGAGTTATTGTGTTCTTCCAAGAGGAGCCTTCCCTGCTGACAGAACACAATCATTAGTGTTGCTGGCTATAGCTGGCAGCGCTAATTGCTCTGGAAAAAAAAATGACAGGTCGGTGGTACACAAGTCGATCGATAAATCAACTTGTGTACAACCAGCTTGCCCATAAATGGATGAAAATTTCAATCCATGTATGGCCAGCTGAAGTCTTGTGATTCCTCCACCTGTCATGCACACACAGGATGCCTATAACTGATATGCTTACTATTAAAACCATGAAAAGAAAATAGCAATATATCTACAACACTGCAATCAGGGGCAACTAAATAGCCTAGTCAATGGGAACCCACATCTCCCTCAGCCTGACAGAGGGAAGTCTGTCTGCTAGTGGGACCCTGGGCCCATCCAGAAGATGTAGGTACACACATCCCTTACACATGAACAAACCCTGTTCATCAGCTTTTACAACTCTACCAAACATCTTGCTGTGAAAAAGCTTAATCAAGATACATACATATGCAACTGTGTGGATGAGAAATCTCTAGTGTATGTCATCTAGACATTAAAAACAAATTTTAAAAAATCCAAAAGCTTCCAAACATGGGATATTGGTATTAAAAAAACTAAGGTTATGGCCTTCTGCACCCATAACTTGAGCATTCAGGCCATGAAGCCACCTCTCCTTTGTAAATAATTGTACTTTTCCAAGCTTAAATCTTGAGAACCTGACCTCCTGCACTTCATTTCCCTGACACTGCGGTTTACAGTACAAATTCCTTTCCCCATCTGAATAAACCCAGCGGCTCCAGTGTTGGAGATTATATGCATTCTTCATTTCACAAAAGTGCCCCCACTTGCTGGGGGAAAATGGATTAACTAGCTGCCAGCAAGGAAAATAATCCCAGGAGTATCACACGCCAGTACTTTCCCAGCTGGGTGCTGGTCTGCAAACATACAAAGCATGGTAGGAAGAACTCCGGTGTCACATGCCCCTGCTGTTTCCCATTCCTAAAATCACTGCCATACTTACCTGTAGTATTACATTTCCACTTCTCAAGAGATAAGATGGCACGAGCTGGGGCAAGGAAAGCAAAAGCACTTGCCTGGAACAAGGGTAACCTGGAGCAATGGCAGAACAAAGAAAGACAAGTGAAGTTCATTTCTGTTACTCAACATCACAAAAGCGACACTTCATTCTTAAAAGCCAACAAATAAAGAAGCGACAAAGGCTTTTTTAATGATTTCTCCACTTCCTATAAAGTTCACATACTACATAAATCTTAATTGACTTTCAGGCTTGAAAAAACAAAACATCGGTCTGGTATAGCCCCAACTCCATCCTACAGTACTTGCGCCACACACTTATAAAGCATGTTCTTTTAATAATGGGAAATGGGGGAGGGGGGGCGCAAAGGAGTGTCAGCGCTCGGACTAGAGTCACCATTTAAATAATACGCTCTCTGGGTTTTGGAGCTCTGTGGTCGATAGGATGAATAAAGAGGGATCTATACAAGCTCTAGGTGCCTGCTTTTAACTTTTCAAGACTTTGACTAGATGACAAATTTACTTTATAAACATATTTACACAATGTTATAAATTTTTCTCTAACGTTACCCGTATTTCTGAAGTCCTACATCAAAGTGAAATCAAACACACAGCAGTTCACTGCCATTGATTGGAATAAAACCATCAATGGCAGTGAACCGCTGCAAAAAAAAAAAAAAAAAACCCATGTAAATACTTTTTTCCTGTGTATTCTGCAGAGGTCACATGATCTTTCCCTGCTCATTTCCTATCACCAATGTGAAAATGATGACGTAAGTAGATAATGCAGTATTTAATGTAACAGCATTTTTATACATCATGGGTTTCATGACACTTGAATGCACAAACTACCACTGCTGCAACCAGAAAGTACTGAGAAGAATAAAGTATGCTGGGGGTAGGGAGGAAAAGTGATGTCTATACTGCAATGATGCCCCCCACACTGGAAATTATGTCTAGTACACACGATGAGAAATTCTGCCAAAAAAAAAAAAAGTTTATGGAGTGATTATACGATAATGTGATTGTTAATACACAGCTCTCGAGGGCTGGTTACAACAGTTCATGTGAAATTATTAGAAAGGACAAGCATGAAAATGTTTCTCGAAGATAACAGAATGAACAATTTTCATGAAATTAGTATAGTATTTGTAGAAAAAAAAAAATGGAGTGGCCAAGACCTCAAAGGCTTGGAAACAAAAGTTACAAGAATTTTCGTAACTTTAGTAACCTATTAATTTTCGATATGAAACTAGCATGTGAAAAAAAAAAAATGACAACCATTTGTCCGATATTCTCATTGTGTGTCCTAGGCTTTAGGTTACACAGATGCCCCATAACTGCCATCCATGGTTCTTCTGACTCAAATAAATAGCTCTGTGGTTCTTCCAAGTACAGTTCCTGATTCCTGTGAATCCTAAGCCTAGTGAATAAATATTGGGAGTAAACAAAAAAGTGTCTGTGCTATTCATCACAAGACTCTAAATTCGTATCATCTAGATTCTACCAGAATACACAAGTTATAAAATTCAGAATATATCCTGGGACTTTACTGCATTAGAGGAATGTTTTTTCTATGCATCAACATCAACACTAAAACATTTTGGACTAAACAAATCTCCCTTAAAGGCTCTTGACCAAGGCTAGTGATAGGCTAGTGTTGTTCCTTAAGATGGACTTGTGCTTTACCCATTTAATGCAAAGCAACAGCTTCACTTTAATGCACCCCTTCCAAGTTGAACATATTCACGTTTCCTATCCACTGCTCTATTCAGCTGATAGGTGCAAAGGAAAAGCAAACCTTGTGCAAGCTCCAAGTCCCTCCATTTGAAGCTTACAAAGAGCAAAGGACTCATTCCCCACCACCCACATGACAGTGCTGGACCATTCACCAGTGATGTGTAGCAAGTCACATGCTTGTCTATACATGGAAGTACCAATACTTGAACAGAAAGGCAGGGGGGGCCAAAAGTGCCTGCACCCATGAAAAGGCAACAGACTTCGATGCCCCAAATTGTCCATGGGCGACGCTTCAAAAGCCTTTTGCAAGTCATAATTTTAGAGTTAACTTTGAACGATGGCCCTGGGATTATTGCTTTTACTCCAGAAAGCACAGCAATACTTAATATGTGAAACACATTTGTTATCCTGGATAGAGGCACTCAACTTGCATATTTCCGTTCATGTATTTATGTGGGGCATAGGACTTTTGGAATTTTTATTTAATTGATTATGCGCTACTTTAATTTTTTTAAAGTTTTTTTTCTTCTCAACTTTATTGTTATCACATAAGGGGCTGACGGGCACCCTGTGTTATGTGATAGCTCAATGGAAGTGAGTCTCCTTAAAGTGGTTGTAAAGGCAGAAGGTAAAAATCCTTTTGCATGCAGCTCCCCCCACAGCCCCCCCCCCCCCCCAAGTAGATACCTGAGTCCAGTCTTTATTCAGCAATGTGCATGAGTGCTGAGGCTCTCTCGCTTCTCTTTGGTTCAGATACAGCAGCGGGAGCCATTGGCTACCCCTGCTGTCAATTAGAGCCAGTGACGACGGAGTGGGGGTCAGGGCTGAGCCCCACTCTGTGTGAGGAGCAGGGCTCGGGAGCGAACCCACACGAGTGACCACCATAGGAAAAGGCTTCCTATAGTGGGTACTCTGAGGGGGGAGGAGCCAGGTGCAGGAGCGGGGGACCCGAAAAGAGGAGAATCGAGGCTGCAAAACCATTGCACAGAACAGGTAAATATACCATGGCCTAGCCAGTCTCCAGACCTAAATCCAATAGAACATCTTTGGAGGGAGCTGAAACTCCGTGTTGCTCAGCGACAGTCCCGAAACCTGACAGATCTAGAGGAGATCTGTGTGGAGGAGTGGGCCAAAATCCCTGTTGCAGTGTGTGCAAACCTGGTCAAGAACTACAGGAAACGTTTGACCTCTGTAATTGCAAACAAAGGCTTCTGTACCAAATATTAACACTGATTTTCTCAGGTGTTCAAATACTTATGTTCAGCAGTGCAAGACAAATAAATTCTTTAAAAATCATACAATGTGATTTCCTGAATTTTTTTTTTTATTCTGTATCTCAGAGTGGGAATGCACCTACAATGTGAATTTCAGACCACTCCATGATTTCTAAGTGGGAGAACTTGCAAAATCGCAGGGTGTTCAAATACTTCTGTTCCTCACTTTATATATACAGTTGTGTTAAAAATAATAGCAGTCAGACATCACTAACCTGATCAATCACTGTTTTTGGTAGAAATGATATTTCTACATGGCAAATAATTTACTAGCAGGTGTAGTAGAGTAATAGAAATCCAACAGACCCAACAGTCATGACATGCATGCTGCTGATTCTGTGTAATTGAATCACTCATTGAAAGTGGCATGTTCAAAATAATAGCAGTGTGGAGTTCTATTAGTGAGGTCATTTATTCTTTGAAAAACAGGTGGCAATTATTGCCCTTATTTAAGGAAGGAAGACAGCAAATGTACATGCTGGTTACAGTGTATTTCTCTCTGAAATTCTGAGGAAAATGGGTTGTTCCAGACACTGTTCAGAAGAACAGCGTACCTTGATTAAAAAGTTGATTGGAGAGGGGAAAACATATAAAGAAGTACAGAAAATGATAGGCTGCTCAGCTAAAATGATCACAAATGCTTTAAAATGGCAACCAAAACCTGAAAGACGTGGAAGAAAGCAAAAAACTACCATTCGAATGGATAGAAGAATAGCCAAAATGGCAAGGACTCAGCCAACAATCAACTCCAGGAAGATCAAAGAAGGTCTAAAGTTACCCGTGAGTACTGTTACAATTAGAAGACGCCTATGTGAAGCCAAGCTATCTGCAAGAAGCCCCCGCACAGTCCCACTGTTGGAAAAAAAAAAAAGACGTGCTGAAGAGGTTACAATTTGCCAAAAAGCACATTGACTGGTCTAAAGAGAAATGGCGCAACATTTTGTGGACTGATGAAAGTAAGATTGTTCTTTTTGGGTCCAGTCGCCGGAGACAGTTTGTCAGACGACCCCCCAAACACTGAATTCAAGCCACAGTACACTGTGAAGACAGTGAAGCATGGTTGCGCAAACATCATGATATGGGGATGTTTCTCATACTACGGTGTTGGGCCTATTTATCGCATACCAGGGATCATGGATTAGTTTGAATACATCAGAATACTTGAAGAGGTCATGCTGCCTTATGCTGAAGAGGAAATGCCCTTGAAATGGGTGTTCCAACAAGACAACGACCCCAAACACACCAGTAAACGTGCAACATCTTGGTTCCAGACCAACAAGATTGACGTTATGGAGTGGCCAGCCCGATCCCCGGATCTTAATCCAATAGAAAACTTGTGGGGTGACATCAAAAATGCAGTTTCTGAGGCAAAATCAAGAAATAGAGAAGAACTGTGGAATGTAGTCCAATCATCCTGGGCTGGAATACCTGTTCACAGGTGCCAGAAGTTGGTTGACTCCATGCAACACAGATGTACAGCAGTTCTCAGAAACAGTGCTTATACAACTAAATATTCATTAAGTGATTCAAAGGAAAGCAAAATCTTCAAACATTTTTCAGTTTATATAGTGAATGTTTGAGTTTGTAAAGAAGAATACAAACACTGCTATTTTTTTGAACAGTCTAATATTCACACAAATTTCTTCAATTTCTTCACACACACACACATACAGTATATTACATTCAAATCAGTCCCTAACCTTCAAGGAGCGTACAATCTAAGGTCCCTAAATCACATTCATACATACTAGGGCCAATTTAGACAGGAACCAATTAACCTACCAGCATGTCTTTGGAGTGTGGGAGGAAACCAGAGTACCCGAAGGAAACCCACGCAGGCACAGGGAGAACATGCAAACTCCAGGCAGGTGGTGCCATGGTTGGGATACGAACCAACGACCCTAGTGCTGTCAAGCAAAAGTGCTAACCATTCAGCCACTGTGCTGCCCATATATTGTGTTTGTGTGCATTAACTCATTAACTTTAGTGTATTTTTTACTGAAAATATGGGTTTGATGAACAGTTGTGCTAATATCATGTAACACTAAAAATGGTAACAGCATTATATTCTCCTGGACAATTTTATTCTCCATGGTTTCTGCTTTCAAAAAATATATAATGTTTTGGGGGTTTTACGTAATCTTCAGGCCTAAAATGTGCATTTAAACATGTGGAAACAAATGCAAAAACAACTATGGCAAAAGGTTTGCTTTAATGATGCCAAAATACAGGAGACACTGTAGAACAGTAAAGTTTCAGGACACATTCTATATTGCAATATGTTTATATGCATTCTGGTTCCTGCACTGCCAAGTAAGCACCTGCAGAATGCTGACCATTAACGCTTTGACCCACGGTGATACAAGCTGTTACAAAAACATTTTCTGATTGAGCACTCAACTACACTACATATAGGAATAATAAAATACACAGTTAATATAGTGGCGGCATTAGCGATAACAACAATCATAACAATGTTTCTTGTCTCCTTGAACATTCAAGCCAAAAAATACTGACCCATACTTATTACTTGGCTATCAGTATTCCTTTTTTCATAGATAAGACAGAATTTCTTCACTACTCCTATCATGTGCAATGACCTTGCTGTGTTTGCGGGGAAGAAACAGTCTAACATAATGGAGAACATCACTATTTGCCAAAGCCAACTCCCTGAAACAGTCCCAGGTCTGCACCTGGGTCTGCTATATTGCTATGCAATTTGTTTGGACTGCAGAACCAGCAAAGTCTGAGCTTTACTAAAGGGTAGTAAATTGAAAGCATTGTGGAGGTGTTCCATTCTAATATTTGTGACTGAAGTTTCCCTAAGTTTAACCTGTGAAAACAGAGATACGGAGTTGCCATTGTTAAATATTTTTTTCAAATGTCAGGGGCTATCGTGCTGAGCCACCGATTCAGAACATGAGTGCAGAAAAGGGGTTCAGACTTCACTGGCATGGCATGTTTGACTCCATGTCACAGGCTCCCTGGCTTAGTTTACATCCATATACCTCAGCTGCAATTTTATCAAATCTGACGTGTGGGAAGAAAAAATCAGGTAATTGGAAAGTGCACCCAGACAAAAAGGAATAGAATTAATTAAAGTGGGTGTTAACATGGGGAGCCAGAGACTTAACCAGGTGAAAAGCTGTAATTGGCTCTCCCAGCAGTTACAAAATTGGCAGCCTGCCCCACTAGCTCGGTGACAGCATGCTGGGAACATGCAGATCTTCAGATCCCCCACAGACACATGTGCAGTGGCTGGGCATCAAGGCCCACATGCCCTGTAGCCACATACATGCATTTCCATGTTTTTATGATCTTTTAGGCAGTCATAGATAATTCCATTTCTTTCCTTTCCTCAGTCAATGTTGATGGGGGAATGCCTCCTGCAGTGCTATATGTGTACTGCTGTACTGCTTTGCACGGGGAGCCTTCCCGGCTTGCAGAACACAATTATTACTGCTAGCGGCTATAGCCACTGGCAACAATCACATGTAAAAAAATCTGACAGGCTGGTTGCACCCAAGTCGATCCATCAGCCTGCCCATACATCGAAATTCGGCTGGTCCCTGCTGAATTGGCAGAATTTCGATCCATGTATGGCTATCTTTACACGGATCATGAAACTCTTGCTGACAATGCCTTTATCTTTTTCATTCCAGAAGGACAGAGCCTATTTTGTCAAGGCATCATATAAGGTCAGGATCTACTTTTTAGAAATAAAAAAAATCATTATGGTATCAATATGGTACCTTTGCAGTTCTTGGCTGTGTTCACACATTTATGTTACAATATTATAGTCTGATCAGTGGAAGAGAGGAACCTGAGGAAATGCTTACTCCTGCCTGCAGCAGACTGATGACCGCACTTAAAGAAAAACTAGTCTACATTGCTGGCAGGCTGACTAGTTTTTTTATTTCTTCCATGAGTGCACATAGAAAGTGGCATATCCTCCAAGACTGGCCAATTAAGATGGCAAACAGAAAAAAAATGAGGGAAGAAGTCAGTAACGAGGAAAACTGCGGCGAGTTGCAGAGTCGGGGGGGGGGGGGGGGGGAGGGGTCTGTGGCAGTTAAATGCTAAGTTCAGTTTTTTTTTTTTTTTAAATAATGAGATTTTTTTTCAGGTAAAAAAAAAAAATGCCTTTATTATTATTATTTTTTTTTTTTTTTCTTAGGTGTCTGAACAGCATTGAACATTCGATACGCAGATCGCAGATGCAAGGTCAGGCTCCTTCTGACACTCAGTACAGCTGTCTATCTGAACCTCCCATACAGGCAGGCAGATACTGCAGTGCAGGAAGAGTAACTATGAAGGCACTCATCAGCACCCTCACAGTTCATTGAGAACTACAAGCCATCTGCTGTGATGACAGATGTACTTGTGGTCCATTCATTCACATATCTGTGTGAATGAATGACAGCTGTGTGGGCAGTGTCCAACACAGCAGCGCTGTTTGTAAATTTTGACAAAGGTTGTGGGGAGAGGATCCCCTGCCCATTGTTACAATAGGGGATCGGGCGCTGAGCGGGGCTGCTGCTGCGTTAGTAGCATGTTACATCCTAAATACAGGTGTAACATTTAACAAGTTACTAAAGGTGAACTTATCCTTTAAGTCTACTATAATGTGCATACTTGCCCACTATGGCAAAGCTCAGCAGCAGAGTTTAATTCCACTTTAATTAAGGGGCTGCCTTCTAATCAGATTAAACCATTTTTTGAAAACACAATACTTTTTCTGTATACAGTGACATGTCGTGTATTCATACAAACTTTTATGAGATTAAACACCAAAAAATATCAGCAAAAGCTTGTAGACTCACCGGCACCCAAATGTTGTCTGAAGTAAAGTAGTGATTCCTACACAGAAGAAAATGGTCCCAATGAGTTGACTAGTTGCCCACTGGTCAAAGCCAACACACATGGCTTCTGCGAGCAGGAACGGCACAGCCACCGTCCCACTGAAGCATGTCAGGTAGTGCTGCAAGAAATGAGAATTCTCCATTGGTTTACAGTTTGATTTTGTGCTTAGCAATACATTCAATAAAAGTGAGAAATAAAAAAAATGATAGGTGTGTATGTGAAAAAACACTTGTAAGTCTGTAATATAATATTACATTCACAATTATAATAATAAGTACCTGTAATAAATAAATTATAATAATACAATTTATATTATATAAAATTAAAGCCCAACTCCAGCAACATTTCTTATGTTTTGTACATGGAAGTAAGGGTTAGAAATGGTGTCAAATTTGTCTCTCTCTTTTGGGGAGATTTACTCTCGCCTGCTGTCCCAGTGACATAAATAGATATAGGATATCTTTTGAAGTGAATGAAGACAGCTGCAAAAGTACATTTATTTAGCAGGGAGGGGCTAAAAAAAATCTGTCAGGTTTCAATTGCTCCATGACACCCGCACAATCATTTCTTGTCCTGGTGTCACCAGAACAGAAAGAAGGGAGAAAGCTCCCCAAGACACCTGACAGAAGTTTGGAATCTTAACTACTGAAAAGGTTTGGCTAGAGTGGGGATTCAATTTACCATACAAACTGGAGCTAGACCATCAGAACAGACATATATATTTGAAGCTGTGAAAGGAAGTACAAGCAATATAGCTCTAGAAGGGTCCACCTTTAAAATTGTATCTAGGCCACATACATCTAGGCCATGTCATTTTATGTAACATCAAAAACATGTTAATCTTATTAAGATTTATTATTGTAACTAAAAAAAAGTAACATTCTCTGAATGTTTTGCACAACTTCTGATCATCTGTCTGTTAAAAAGTAGTAAACTGCTTGGTAGTCTAAACATTAGAGTCCAGTAATGATAACATTAACTGGAAAGGATTGCCTGGCACATTATTTAGACAAATATCCCCTATTCTTACTTTTTATTTGTAATTTTTGAAAACTAAAAATCACATGGACGTATATAAGTGTACATCTGTGCGAAGAGCTGTGTTTGCCCATGATGTATAGGTATAGGAATGTATAGGTGTTCCGTGCATCCATGCGCAGGCAGTCCCATTCATTTATATTAGGAGGTAGCAGCTGCACAGACAGTCGTTTGACATCCATGAGGATGTGGGTGTATGTCCCCCAATTTGCATTGTTTGCATTTGGAGACACGCATCCACACCCAAACGGATGTCAAATTGGGAACCTCGGCTGCGTCTGTGCAGTCACTGTGCTCCAATAGACCATGTGAATGAGGCCAGAGAGGAACTTCCACATTCCAAAAAAATGACAGTCTTTATACTGTAATAATATACTTACAAGCCCAACAGGTCCAGCGTTGTACACAAAGTTGATTTTCCAGCGCATATACCAGTTGCATAACATTTGCATATATATGTGAATGCTGTACTGTCTCTTCAAGGCCCCACTGTACAGTGTGGTTGTAACTCTAGTGCAGGGTCTCCAAATTGTCTAAACAAAGGGTCAGTTTTTCCTTCCACTTCACAATTATGTGCCTTTGTGCTGGTCTATCACACAAAATCCCAATAAAATACATTTACGTTTTTGGATGTAACATTACAAAATGTGGAAAATTTCAAGGGGTATGCATACCTTTTCAAGGCACTGTAGCACCTGTGGTCAGATGGAATAGGAATAATACCCCATCATCTGTGTCAATTGGAGGAATAGCACCGCACCTTTGCTGTCAGTAGGAGGAGTGTTCTATTGTTATATCAGTGGGAGGAATTATGCCTTACTGTTGGTTTGGTGTAAGGCATAGAGCTCCGCCATTGTTGTCAATGGAAGGAAATGCCCCATCACTGGTGTCAATAGGGTGAATAGTGCCCCAAGGCCAGATAAAACCAAGCAAAGGGCTGCAGTTTGGAGACCTTTGCTCTAGTCTATGAGAGTCTCTATGCTGGAGAACAAAGAGCAATTGATAAATTAAGGGCAGATATGCCTGGAGGAATCCTATTCCTCCTTAAAACTCCCCACTTTTGAAGTTGATGCTCCAATTGTCCAGTAACCAACAAGAGAAAACTAGCATCAATGTATCTAAATCTCTGATGGCTTGTTCACACCATCTGCAGTGAGTTGTGTGGATCTATATAGAGCAGTGGTTCTCAACCTGGGGGTCGAACCCTTTGACGATCCTTTCACAGGGGTCCCCTAAGACCATCAGAAAACACATATTTCCGATGTGTAAAGAGCAGCTACTGTGTAGAAAGCAGCTGCTGTGTTGAAAGCAGCTACTCTGTTAAAAGCAGCTGCTGTGTTGAAAGCAGCTGCTGTGTTGAAAGCAGCTACTGTGTTGAAAGCAGCAGTATTGGAGGTAAAACGACACTTCATGAATTATAATTACTGGGTAAATAATTTTATGGTTGGGGGTCACCACAACATGAGGAACTGTATTAAAGGGTCGCGCGGCATTAGGAAGGTTGAGAACCACTGATATAGAGGGATGTAGGCTCAGTGCTAAGATGCCCTGCCCAGTTCACACCACAATGTTGTGCATTTTTACGCAGCACAAGTCACTGTGTTTACCACATGGCGTAGCAACATGCTGCAATTAATCACTAAAAAAACCTGAATGAAATTTAATATTGTAACACTTCAATAAAGTTTTTAATAATGCAATGTATGACCCCTTAATAATGAACACCAGACTGTAGCATTTTAACATACAGGCTGGTGTGAAGGAGTCTCAACTTTGAGCTACTGACATCACTGCTGGTACCTGAAGATAACTTAGTGGAGTTCCACCCAAAACTGGAAGCTCTGCTTGTTTGCCTCCCCCCCACTGCTATATTTGGCACTTTTTTTTGGGGAGGGAGCGGATACCAAGTTTTGACAGGTACCCGCTCCCACTTCCAGCTCAGTTTGGGCCCCTTCCTCCTCCCGCAGTCTTCCGAGACACTTCACAGGTCCAAGGAGACTGCCAGACCAATCAGGATACGCATGCATAGTGGGCACCCGGATGTCACAGCCTGGTGCCCACAGTTGAGATGCTGGCCCCGGGGAGAGAAAAAAGGAGAGAACGGACAGCGCGGGTGAGCACATTGTTGGACCCTGGGACAGGTGAGTGTTTGTTTTTTTTTACAGTTTTTGTAGCTGCTGACTTTTAATAAATATAAAAATGAATGGAACTCTACTTTAACTTGTCTACTGGGCACTTATACCTCCTTCGTGCCCAGGCCAATTTTCAGCGCTGTCGCACTTTGAATGAAAATTGCGCGGGTCATGTAACACCGTAACCATATGAAATTTTTATCATTTTTTCACACAAAATAGAGCTTTCTTTTTGTGGTATTTAATCGCCACTGGGTGTTTTATTTTTTATGCTCTAAACAAAAAAAAAGAGCAAAAAATTTTAAGAAAAAAAAAAAGTTTTTCTTTGTTTCGATAAAAAATTTTGCAAACAGGTAATTTTTCTCCTTCACTGATGTGCGTTGATGAGGCTGCACTGGGAGGCAGCACTGATGGGCAGCACTGATGAAGTGACATGGATAGGCAGCACTGATGGGTACTGATAGGTGGCACTGATAATGCTGCACTGATATGCAGTAATGATGGGCACTAATGGGTGGCAATAACTGGCAGCACTGCTTGGAACTGATGGGTGGCACTGCTGGGCACTGATGATCAGTGCCAGTCTGCTTTCTGATAATTGCCGGTTATCGGCAGTACTTTCCTCACACTGTGACAGCGTGACGAAAGTGCAGCCGATAACCAGCAACTGCATTTACCTGGTGATCTGCTGTTTCATTGGACACAGCTGATCAAGTGGTAAAAGACCGCTGTGATTGGCCTTTTACGACATCACGTGATCAGCTGTGTCCGTAGGACAAAGCGATCATGGAGATCGCCGGGTGCGCACCGCTGGGGGCGCGCGGGAGGGCGCATTCTGGGAGGACTTCATATGATGCCCTCCCAGAACTGGACAACTGGACAACCACGCTGTAGCCATCACTCGGCTATAGTGCGGTCGCCAAGTGGTTAATGGTTGCTCTAAAGCTGTAAATTGAGCATCAAGAAAGTTTGATGAAGGTTACATTACTTAAAGTGGAACTACACTGCATCTGATCACCACAAACCAAAAATACTATATAATTCATTTTTAATATTAAGAGAAAAATCCCCCATCCATCCATATCTCCATGCTTTATTTTGCTGAGGAATCTCTTTGAAAAACACCCACTAGCATTTATATCCATGGTCATCTTGAATAAGGGCAAATGATTCATGTAGCATTTACTTCCTGGAATCCATCTGCCCTTAGCTGTGGAATGAGGGTGTGCTTAACTGAAACAGCCTCTTCTCCCCACCTGAAGGCTTCTGGAACGTATGACATGATTTGCCTAGGCTTGAAAACCAGAAAGAACATACAGAAATATAAAAAAAAAAAAAAGTTAACATTTTAAAATGTATTATTTTACACTTTCCTATTTACGAATACTAGCTACATAAGGATGAAAAATAGTCAAAATTGATTGAAAGAGCGAAGTTGCGCTTTAAATTTGAACTCTTGGCAACCAGGTAGACCTCTCTGGCAGTTGCTGCAGTTCAGTAATACTTTCAGGTCTTGTCCCTCCCCCCAGCCTGTGACTGGACAATGAAGGAGAAGCTGCAGCCTGATGAGCTCATCTCTCCATCACTCTTCTGTCTCCTCCTGTCAGCATGTACCTGGAACTGCAACACAGCAAATTGGTTTCTTGAGCTTCTCTCACCAACCCGACTGGTTACTTGTTGTGCTTCTCCTCCACCCCCCTGCACTTTGATGTACAGGGGGTTGAAGGGAGACGTAGGGAGGATTAGAACACCTGTCAAGTGCTGTCTCTTTAGAAAGATTCAGCCTCTCTATTTGTCCTCATGACCGCTATACCCAAAAGTGAAAGAGAAAAAAAAAAGATAATCTAAAGTTTTGAGTGATCACCAGAAAAGGAATGGAGGCAGAAATCTTCTGGTTCAGGTGACCCTGATGACTACCAAAGATGTTCTTTATTTTGGAGGAATCATCACTTACTCTGTTGTGGCTATGAGACAGGAATTGAAATCTCCTCAATTCAGTTCAAGTAAATCAGTTGCTTACACTGCTTGCATTACAAATACATATAATACTGTATTAATGAATACAAAGTTGCACTCATTTGCACCTTTTATATCTGGAGTTAAGTTTCAATTGCTGGACTGCAGCATGTTTAGGTGTTCGTTGTAGGGAGGAAGTTTTAACCACAACCAGATCTGCATTTCCCATGCTGGAAATATTTCAATGAAATGTGAAGCAAACTATAAAATGAGAGCAGCTTGGTTGGTTCAGTGCAGTCAATTCAGGTAATAAATGATCATTGATTGTCTGCAATGAGTTACAAGTCCATATGAGATAAAGGCTGAGCGGGATAATTTTATGAGAAGATGTAGATGTAGTCATAACTGACATTCCGGGCTAAACAGTGATTACATTGTATGAAAGGACAGCGGAAAAGAACAGCGAAGCACAAATGCCACCTCCTATGAATGAAAGGACATCCAGTTCTCGCTCGTTATCAGCATTCTAACACACAGCAGTAAAGTTCAATATAACGTCATTCTTCACATTACTCTTACCCAACTCCACCCAGAAAAAAAAACAACAAAAAAAAAACAAAAAAGAAACCGGACTTTAATGGCATCAATCTGATGAACAGGTTTCATTTGGGGCGGAAGTTGAAGCATTGAATATAGTGTGCTTTTAGGACCAGAGGATCTCTGGGTGTAGAGAAGCGGACTTCACTTCTACTAAAGGTTGTTGTAGGCATTTCATGGTCCACCTGTGGGAGGACCTGTCAGGTTTATAGAAGTAAATCTAACACCAAACATGGTTTCTTAGCAGTGTATAGAGCAGGGAATGCTTAGAACCTCCAGCAGGATTTTTCTTTTGGCTGTCTTTTTCCCTGGAGATTTCCCTTGACCTCTTGTCCCAGCAACACAACAGGAAGAGAGAAAAAAAAATCTCTGCAAAGTGAAGGAATTCCTCACATTTGTAAATGTTTTGATGTGTTCATGTGCCATCAGATCAGTAGTTTCAGTCTTAAATGCTGTTAAAGGGAAAGGTCAGAATTGTATTGGGAACAGCTTCTTTGTCATCAGAATAAGTAAGCTGGGCATAGACTGGTTTTTTTTTTGTTCAGCTCGAAAAAAAAAAACTAACAGATTCCGTCATCCACAAAAGCAAGAAGGATGACGGAATTTCCCCCATCCTCAACCCCCCGCCCCCCACCAGGACATTGTATTCTGACAGCGACTCTCACTGCTGTCAAAATACACTGGTCAGTGGCTGCAGCCATTGATGGACAACGTTTTCCAGCTTAAAAGACCTGCTGTACAAGACAAATTTCAAAACATCTATGCCCAGCTGTAAAGTGTTACTAAACCTAGGAACCCACATTCACTATATCTGGTCTCTTACAGTGCACACAACATGGAAGTGCAATTATTTTAGTAAATATAAAACTGCTAACCTTCTCTCATCAGCAATATATAGCAGTCTTGTAACTTCTATCACTGTCTGATCGAGAACTGGTTAAAGCTTGTGCGAGGAGTTTCCATTCTCCTCTGACTGTCCTGCAAGACTGCATGACCCCTGAACCTCTGCCTGGACAGTGCTGATTGGCCCTGTGCTGATCACATGTACCCTCTCAGACATAACAAACAGCAGCATGTGTAGAGTGACTCCTAGAGCTCAGAAGATGGATTGGGGACAGTAAAGAAAGAGAGGATCAGAGAAGACAGAGTCAAACAGCCTATTTACACAATGCAGATGATTAACCCCTTAGATTCCACAGTGAGTATAACAAGCATGCTTTATTACATATACAAACTGATTTTACTATTGTGGGTAGTAACACTCTAAGGATTACTCTATCTGTAACAGAAAATCAAAATAGGTGGTTTCAGGGTTCATTCGTCGCACCACAAAGCTGTATGCTGTAATGCAAGTAAAAACATGGCAGTCTGTACTTTATCTGACAGCTATGCAATGTGGGACACCATGCAATGTGCTGAGTGACGCTGCAGCACATATGCAAAAAAAACACACAAAATGCTGCGTTATGGTATTCAAACTACTGATACTTACAATATGAAATTTTCTAAAAGTTCAGTGCTTGAGTGGCCAAGTGAATGAGCACAGAACACTTAAAAATGAAGCCCCTTATATTTGTTACAAATATATTCCAAATACAAGCAATGATGACTATGCTACTGAAACAAACTTACAGGTAAAAGATGATGACGTGCTGAGTAAACAGAGTGCCAGGCAAGGTCTGAGGCACATTAATAGCTGTAAGGCCTCATTTGAAATGTTGCTTGAGAAAGCATGATTATACAGGGATAGATACAGACTAAACCCTGATATAATCTAAGCTGACTGGCTCACTTCTCCTAAGGGTGTATGACCACAGCAACAGACACATTGAGATTTATCTCAGTCCTCATTCATCCTAAGAGACAGCCCTGTCACTAATGATTCCTTTGATAGCTTAGCTTAAATTGTTTCAGTTGGGAAGTTGGCACTGTCAGTTTCTGAAGAACTTGCCATAAATCCCAACACTTCCTAATGTTCTCCTGAGTCCATTGCATATATCTTCACAGCACTCAAGGAAAGCGTCAGTCCAACTAAAGTAGGCTAGTATATTATCTAGTAGTAATTGGACTGGCATATATACATTTTCATTTCTCAGGCTCATTTTTTTTCTCTCTTCCCCCCTTTCCTGACCTGCCGGGCTGCATACAATCCGTTGACATCTGTTCCGGGTTTTCTTCTGTTAAAAAAAAACAGATGTTAACGGATGCGGACATTACCGGATGTAAATGGATGATCATCCGTTTACATCCGCTAGTCCATAGAAATACATAGATGTCTGTTTTTCATCCGTAAACGGACAGATGAAAGACGGACGTACGGAACGCGAGTGTGAAAGAGGCCTTACAATACAGTTCGATACAGAAGGAATTGGAGGGCCCTGCTCATGGAGCTTACAATCTAAATTAACTAAATAGAAGGCGAGGGTAGTCCTATAAAAAGTTGATGTAAATTAAATCGAAAAGATGACCCTCCTATTTTAGGACTATCAATCTGACAATATGGACCAGTTACTGTATTGCTATATTATGTTTCAGATTAAAATAAATCCAAGGTTACTTTCACACTGCTCCTTGTTAAAACGCAGTAAAAAATGTGTTTTTACCACATTACAAAGGTAAACTGTATCCTATGATAAAACTCCAGTTGTTTATGATACACAGTATCAAATTAAGGGTTTAGAACAGCTTCTCACTAGAGGAACTCTTGAAAAAATGTTCTGGTCTTGGGAAACCTCTGCCAAAATTACTGAATTGGGATCAAACGAAGGAATGTCCCTTACAATGGTGATCAGTGGGAAAAATGCTCCCCTACATTCAGTGATGATCAGAAAGCAACCCGTACAGTCAGCTAAAAAAAGCAGTGGAGTCAACCTGCTGGCTGTGATAAGTGGCGTTGGACCTGGAATTTTCAGGCACCATCAGGTAAAAAGATCAATTAGCCACATCTTGAGAAACCTCTGAGGGAACCATGAAGTTCCACGGACCCCTGGTTGAGAAGGTCTGGTTTAGATAAACCAAGTAAAAGAATTTTAATTGTGTAGTATAGTTTCCATTTTATTTGGCATTCCTGACATTTAAAGCTGGCTATACAGCTTGAATTTCAGCATTTTCCTGCTAAACAAGCTGAAATTCAAACCATAGGTGACTGTCATTACCAACTTACTCAGCAAAAGTCAACTTAAAAATCAGTTGAGCCAGGAGGAAAATTATTGAACAGTGACCTTGTTCTATCAGATGCAGTCATGGTTCAAATATTCAGGCAGCTCCAGCTGTCATGGCTGTGTGAATACAATAGCTGGCACTGGACGTTCTTCCATCCATGGTGTTTATTTTGGATGGGGGATTGACTATTTTTCTCTTGTTCAGCCAGCAAATCTGTGCATTAATGGCTAACCTAAGGCTGGTCAAAGATCCATGTAGGCAAGCAATACAAACCAGTTCATACATGGCCAAGTTACCCACAAGGCAAACTATAAATCACTACGTATATACCTGAAGCAAGTTTTTACTCTTAGGAGGTTAAGACGCAGTTTTACATGTTCACTGACCATATCAATTATGTGAATGCAGCCAAAGGACCCCGTAATGACACATGTGAGACTTGTGCCAGGGATATTATGCTGTCTCTGCTGCAGAGTTGTCTGGTGTTAGTTTGTTTCAAGGTCTGTGACAGTCTGCCTTCTCTCCAGCCTCTCAATGCCTCTGAAACTTGCAGCCTAATGCCTTCAGCAACTGTATCACGCATAATGATTGTCCTTATCTGACCATCATGCTGAACTTTGAGCTAACTGGAAAATTTACGACCCAGCTGATTCTCTGTTCTGTTTTTGGATCTTGTAAATACTGCCCAGCATGGAGAAGAAGTCAGGCTATTTTCAGCTATAAGAGGCCCACTTCGGGGGAAAATAATGAGCAAATGGAATACAGTTACATTATAGCGTTTATAAGAATTACAGCCATAAAGGTGGACAGTCTTGTTTATCAAATCTCAAAACCAACATACCTGTAAGCCCAGGAAGATGCAGAGATACCAAGGAGGTACATCCTCTACTGTATATATCATGTCCATCCGCTGCCGGTCTAAGCTGCTTGTGCTGTCCAGTGTCTCTGCCAGCGAGCTCTATATTAAATAAGGAGACAGTTTATTATTATTATACAGGGTTTATAAAGAGGCAACAATTTTCGCTGCACTTTAATAAATAAACCTTTTATGTCTTTATAGTTCAAAAGCTATTTCAGTTGATCAGATTCTTTTTTCCGAAAAAAGTCAAGAACATTTCAAGAGAAATATTGTTCTAAATTGTTACTAACAACATGCAGTACCCAATTATAACCCATAGGTGTCACCTACAGCAACACAGCCAAAGTGCTGGTAGGTTTCGAAAGTAAATGAGCATTATGGCAATTAAAGCAAGTGCTTCAAAAGGTTTGATGAGCAAAACAAAGCAAAAGCACCCAAATACATTTTCCTATGTTGAATTCTTTTTTAAAAATTCTAGAACCAATCTACACAAAGAAAAAAAGGTCACATACTGTGCTTATGCTTTTTTTTTTTTTTAAACCAGATTTAAGTTTCTCTGGAGTTTACTAGGAAGTCCAAATAAATTAAAAAACAAGGGGTAATGTGGTGAAATACAAATAGGGAGCCCTATATTCCCAAGAATCATTCTCGGGTAATAATGAAGATCTAGAGCCAAAATGTTTTCTTCATTTTGGATAGAGTATGGATCTAAAACCTCTGATTGACCACTTATGTCCCACTGGAACGATTTCCCTATATTTCCAGTCCTGTAGAAACAAGAGAAAATGTTCCAAAGTGTCCCCAATGGACGATTTTCAAGCTCATCTGGTGACAGCTCAGAGATATGGCTTCTTATGTCTGTTCAGTCTTGATAATAGAACTCACTAGGACAAATAGATTAAATCTCCCCACAGACTGCAAAAAAACAAAAACCTGACATAGGTTTTAACCCTTTACCACTTTGTCCAAACATTTTAAACTGGCTTTAAATCCACTGTTGCCACCTACATCAGTGTTTCTCAACCTTTTTCCAGTCAAGGCACACTTTAAAATTCTGCACAATCCCAAGGCACCCCATTCTAAAAAACTAATCAAATAGTTTCACATAAAGCAGCAAAATACACACACATAAGACACCCAACGGTAGAGGTGATTTATTTTTCCAAAGCAAATACACCTTATACACTGGTACTGACTAGTATTCCAATGTTTCTCTTCCCCCTCAGTTTCTCCCTCAATCAGCTAATGTGCTGATGGAGAGGGGCAGTGGAGGGGAAAACAAGGATGCTGTGCAGGCACCTAACATCATCAACCAACCAATGATGTCATTGTTGGTTAGGACGCTGGCTACTGGAAGGTTGTAATGGTGCACGATAAAAACCTGTGGCTTTGTGTAACTGAAAAGCAGGCTTGATCCACCCACTGGCTTGTATACAATTTTTAGGCATTTTGACACTTGAAGGCACCCCTGGATTCCAGGGTACCCTGGTTGAAAAAGGATAACCTAGATTATGGTCTACTATGACTAATCTGTAAAATAAAATTACATTCTTCAAAGGTACCTTAATTGAATACCAGATACTAGCGGCACTGACTGGTGCAGAAAATATCTTAAATGTTTCTCCGCAGAGGAGTGTATTCTGGAACTGCCATAAAGCGCAGACTATATAGATAACAAACTCCTGATTGCTCATTCACTCACAGCTTCAGAAGTCTCTATAGACTTAGCAAGGTTTAATGCAGCATTGGGGGAATAAAGAAACATCCCATGCCCAGCACACCACACCAGAAGCTCTTAGCATGGCTCAAATCATGCTACAAACAGCAATATGCAGCGAGCAGGGTCAAAAGCTTCTTTTCTAAACTTCCCTCCACTGGCTTCCGATTGCCCAACGGATCAAATTCAAAATGCTTACACTGATGTACAAAGCTGTCCATAATACTACGCACTAACCAGAAGCGTATTGATAATACGTATGTATATAAATATCCTGAAGATTCCCTGGTTATGCGCATTTCTATCATTTGCACTAGAAAAACAGCGAGCACCATTACAGGACTGCATTTCATTTGTGACTTTTTACTTCCAGTTTGTAACCATCATCCATATTTGCTAATATCATACAGCGCTGCATTTACATATCTGTATTTATATTAGGATTTTATATGCATTTACCTTGAATGTTCAGCTGCTGACACTTTTGGAGCGCTCACTGTAGCATTTCTTTCTATGTCCATAATACTGCCCCAAATTACATCACCGACCTGATATCCAAATACCACCCAACACGTACTCTTCGCTCCTCACAAGACCTCCTACTCTCCAGTTCCCTGGTCTCCTCCTCCCATGCCCGCCTCCAGGACTTCTCCAGGGCATCGCTCATCCTCTGGAACTCCCTACCCCAATCCATCAGACTATCACCCACTCTCCTCTCCTTTAGGCGCACCCTAAAAACCCACTTCTTCAGGGAAGCCTACCCCACCCTCTGCTAACTGCCGATCTCCTCCACTCTTCCTACCACTCCATCCCCCACAGCTTTTCCTCCCGTACCACTATCCCCTCCCTCCTAGATTGTAAGCTCCAAGGAGCAGGGCCTTCGAACCCCTCATGTATCGCACTGTATTGTTATTGTACTGTCTCATGTATTGTCTCCCATTGTAATGTACAGCGCTGAGCGAACTATTGGCACTTTATAAATACTGTATAATAATAATAAACTTTTTTCTTTACATCTTATTGACCTCAAACATGAAGGAGCCATGTTAATTACTTAATGCAAAGTCTGCTTTAACTCACTCCCTTCACTTTAGTGTGGCCTTTACAAAGCTGTGATTCATATTTTGTAGTATTCCATATCCAACCTAGTACAGAGGTGAGAAAGCAGATCACAGGTCAAAGTGTGGGTGAAATTACCCTGCCCTATGTTCTACACTAATCACCACAGGATGCAGGAGTATGACCCACTAAACAAACAAGTACAATGATTTTACAATCCCCACGTAATAGTGGCATTTAAACATACAGTTGTATTGCCTTGCTCAGTCTGACTGCTGATGCCCTTGACATTGGCACTTTCCAAATAACCTTGTCTGACAAGATTAAGACATTCTGTTCTGATAACATGATTTCCAGACTTTTTTTGGACTGTACATCTCCAATCAATTTATGAGAACTAAGAACAGAGGTCTAGATTCATCATACTAGACATCTCAGGTCCTTCTCCATTTTCTGTTCACAAGTGCCCATTTAGGAAAAGGGAAAAAAAAGGTTGATTCTTGCACAGTTAAATAAATCACCAAAAAGGCTTCCCCTGAGTATGCATTTTAGTGAGTCCCACAATAAGAACAATTCTTTAACAAAGTTCATAATACAGCCTTCACACTGCAGATCTGGCCCAAATGAATTCACAAAGAGCAGCCAGAAACAAGACATAGAGGTTAACCCTAGGTTCACATCTGTGCTGGTGGTACTGCTACGGATCCGCACTAAAATCCGTGCAGCCGCACCACCTGCACAGAGAAATGTGGACCTGCGGGCAGGTGCCACTAGTTCTAATAGCACGCCGCCCGAACTGGAAATCACAACCGTACTGGGAACCGAGGTTCCCGAGCGGGCTGCGTTTTCGGAAGAAGTGCAGTGACTTCTTCCCTGCGTGTCACTGGCACAGGAGTCCATTCAAATGGGGGTTAAAGATCTGACCAACAAAAGACTTTTCCTATGAAAAATCTTTCCATAAATTGGTTTGATCATTTCCCCTGGCCAATAGATCTTGAATGATTGAACGACCGCTACTGTTTAGGGCCCTTTTTTACACTCATCAGTTTTTTTGCACTTTTGATATTTAAAAAATGGAAACAAAATGCATGAAAAAGGTATCCCTTTAAATCATATGGAACTTTTCACACCAATGCACGGTGAGTGCGGTCCGTTTTTAAAAGTACTGCATGCTGAGCAAGCCGGCTGGAGCAGCGTCCACAATGTGAAGAGTCGTTTAATCTCCGCAAAGCATTCTCACCCCCCTGGTGACCCCGATCGTTCTGCCCGGCATTGTCTGACATATATTCCCAGTTCACGGGGATGAGCACTGACATTTTGGATATTTTGTTTCTTTTGCCCCCCAAAAAATCTACTTTTGGCCAAAGTGTGAATATATATATATATATTATATTTTTTTCTTGATCTCTTGTAAATACCATTCTTCTAAATTGCGACTTTAAAAAAAAAAAAAAAAAAAAAAAAAAAAAGGACTGCATGCTGCATTTTTGGTGCATCTTTAACCGCTTGCCTACAGGGCGCTTATACACCCTTACTGCCCAGGCCAATTTCCAGCTCTCAGCGCTGTCACACTTTGAATGACAATTGCGCGGTCATGCAACACTGTACCCATATGAAATTTTTATCATTTTTTTGTGACAGATAGAGCTTTATTTTGGTGGTATTTTTTTTTCTCTTAAACCAAAAACCACTGAAAATTTTGAAAAAAAAAAAAAAGATTTTTCTTAGTTTTTGTTGTAAAATTTTGTAAATAAGTGATTTTTCTCCTTCACTGATGTGCACTAATGAGGCTGCAGTGATGGACACTGATGAGGAGGCACTGGTAGGTGGCACTGATGGGCATTGACAGGCATCACTGATGAGCACTGAAAGGCAGCACTGATATATGGCACTGATAGGCGGCATTGACTGGCACTGATAGGCGGCACTGATAGGTGGCACTTATTGGCATTGATAGGTGGCACTGACTGGCAATAATGGGTGGCACTGAAAGGCAGCTCAGATGGGCACTGATATGTGGCATTGATGTGCACTGGTATGCACTGATATGTGGCACTGGCAAGTGGCACTGTTCAGCACTGGCAGCTGGCACTGATGGACACTGACAGGTGGCACTTCTGGGGCCAACCTGATGATCAGTGTACATGTCCCCTCCGCGGAATGGCGATTACTGGCTCTCCTCTCGAGCTGTCAGCGTGAGGAGAGAAATGCCGATAACCGGCATTTCCCTGTTTACATGCGGTCAGCTGTGATTGGACACAGCTGATCACATGACCGAGCCGACATCTTTGGCTCTTTCCGTAGATCAGTGATCCGCTGTGTC